TATATCACATGTCCTGCTCCAAGCGGGGAGGGCATGGTGGGCTCCAACAATTGTACCTACACTGACAGTTCTTACTTCATAGGTGGTGGTGCTGGGGGCCTGGGAGTTGGTGGTAAGTCTGCAGTAAAGATATATAAACTAGCCATGTTTATGGAAGGGATCTTAGCTGGGGGAGGGTTCTAGGGGGTGGGAGGCAAAGCAGATGGGTCAAAATTCAAGACAAGCCTGTGCCACAGAGAGAGTTCCAGACAGCTTCATCGACCTAACAAAACTGTCTCAAACATTTTTAAACATTTTTAAAAGGCTGATGATGTAACTCAATAGCAGAGTGGTTGCTTAGAATCCCCTAATAAGGCACTGGGAGCATGACTCAGTGATGAAGCACTGACCTAGAATCTCCCAATGAGGAGATAGGGGTGTGGCTCCACAGTAGAGCCCCTGCCTAGAGTCTCCCAGTGAGAGGGGCTGGGGTGTGAGACTCAGTGTTAAAGCACCTTCCTGTAGTCCCCCCGTGAGGGGCTGGAGTAGGCTCAGCTGTAGAGTACTTACCTAGAATTCACTAGGCCAGGTCCATCCTCAGTACTACAGAACTTGGCTTTGGGGAGAAGGGTATGGCTGGACAAGAGTTAGGTGCACTGATTGACAGGGAGGTCTTGGGAGCCTACAAAAATAACATAGAGGTGAGGGTGCTGGGAGAGGTAGGGGATCCCATAATCTACCCCATCTCATCCTCTGCCACCAACCCCCCTACAGGAAAACCCCCAAAGCCCTATGGAGGAGCCCTTGGAGCCCTGGGATACCAAGGTAAGTAGAGATTCGTCGTTAGGTAAGGAAGAGGTAAAGTCAGAGGTCAAGGTCTCAGTGCACCAGCCTGCCTAGAGGAGAGGCACCTCCAATGCAGATATCCAGAGCTGGGAGCAAGCCTTCGGTGTGGCCTGGACATTCTTGCCCATGTCCCTTAGCTGTTGCCCACCCTCACAGTCACAGAGGAGCCTAAGACTTAAAGCTACGGAGGACTTCCAGGATGGGCTATCTGCTTGTTGACACCAGGGGGCGCTAACAGGCCACATCTAGCAGAAACTTCATGAGGGCTGTGCCTGTGGTGCCTCCCTACCCCAGATTATCTATTGCCGGGTTTGCTGGACAGGGCTTCCCAGCACTCAGGAGGCTGAGGCAGAAAGATTGTGAGTTAGAGGCCATAAGGAGACAATCTCAACAATCCCACCCCTGGAGAGAGAAGGGGGAGGGGGAGCAAATAGAGGTTGATAGAACACTTGCCTAGTGTGAGCTAGGTTTCATCCCAACACAGCATAAAACCAAGCATGGTGATGGATGCCTGAAACTGGGAAGAAACATGAGGATCAGGAGTTCAAGGTCATCCTCGGCTATGTACTGAATTCATAGCCAGCTTGAACTACATGAGACCCCGTGTCAAAGAATGAGCGGCAGAGAGAGAGAGAAGGAGGGAAGCAGGGGAGGAGGGAGGGAGAAAGGAAGGAAGGAAGCAGAAAGGAAGGAAAGCTTCTTTTAGATTCTCGAAGCCTGAGATGGAAGCAGACAAGAGTATACAAGGACTCAAACAGCAGCCCAAAGGGACCAAACTGACCATAGCTGTTTGTACCTCCTTCCAACCCAGGTGGGGGCTGCTTTGGGAAATCTTGTGGCCGGAAGAGGAAGTGATCTTCTGGAGACCCCTGACTCGCG